GAAACTAATCAATAATTATTGTTATCGACCGATATGCAACGCTTGTATCATGATACGTTTTCCAGTCATATCGTCTAGTCCCAGTATCCTCCTGTTCCTGTGACTTCAGCAGTTTGTAATGCGATGCCCAAATTTTATCAGATTTTGAGGATCTTCATGCTGCCTGGAGAAAACCAACTCATTTATTCTGTGTGGTGCAGCTGGTTAGTCCCATAAACAAATTCACACGTTTGCATGTGAATGGGTGAGGCCGGGTCAGGGGCTTTTCTTACTGGTTTCATATTTCGTAACTCCAGCAGGTGGAACTACCAGGCCTCTGTTCTGCTGCTCAAAGTGAAGGCTGAGCACGTCCAAGACGGTTTGATCTGCAGTTTCTAATTTTTGATGAAAACTCCAGAGGTTTGGTTGGTACTCACAATCATCATGAGCACCATGGGGCCCAGGTAGATGATAAAGAAGAAGAAGGAGATCATGGCTAGTGTTAGGATGCCTCGTACCCACCAGTTCTTCCATCTACGGGGAAAAAACAAACAAACAAAAAAAGGTTTCAGCTTAAAAAAGCGCATCCAGAACAACACGGAGAACTAAATGTGTCCGACTCTGAGGGTGACCTTGAGGAGAGTCCAGACAGGGCCTTGTTGAGAACCTCGGGGGTGTCGTCAGGAGGGACCGGCACCTCGGGGACTCCCGAGTCCACCTTGGACTCTTCGGAGACGCCATCTTTGTCTGCTTTCAGCCCGCTGTCTGAGCCCTTTGAACACACACACACACACACACACACACAGGGGAGACATAAAACAGGCGTGAAGGCCATCAATGTTGACCTTTTTGGATTTAGAAAGCCTTGACACTAAAGAATCATATTACAAATGACAATGTTTTTTAAAAGCAATGGGGCTATGATTGCTGTTCCATGTGGGCCATACAGTTGTCCAGTAGAAGAGTAATAAATTGTTCTTATCACTTTAGACTGTTATCAGAATAGTACAACAAAATATTGTGATAAAACTTTAAGTTCATATCTCTCAATCCTAGAAACTCTCAGCTTAAAGATGTTTCATTGGTTTATTTGGAACAGTCCACCGAGCGACCGCAGCAGGTTATTTCTTACACTACACAGTATGAAAACAGAATGTTTTAGCAAAAACAGGCGACTAACTGGGATGCTACACATCACAAATAGTAAACCGTAGATGGTTTACTATTTACAACAAAAGCACACACTTCTAATATTTTAGACTAACAACTGTTGCTTTTGTAGCTATAATAGCTCCAGTTAGCATGCTAGCTCTAGAACTTTGAACAGTCAGCCATGTGACGCAGGACAGGAAAGTGCGGACGTTCAGTTAAAATGTTTTTATTTCTGACCAAAAAAAAAGTCTCGTACATGGAAAGAAGCCATGGAGCTAAAAGCAGGTCTGGTTTTATCAGTGAGTCTGTGTCTGATGTTTGCGCTCCAGTTACTGGCCTGCTGGGGATTACGCTACTGGCAACAATGTCCCATTAATCACATTTTCTCCTTTTTTGGCGTGTAATTGGACTAGAGGCAGGTGACGGCCTGGACAGGTTATCATCACAGAGCAACACAGAGACACACAAGACCGACAGCCGTGCATGCAAAACCAACTGACCTCATTCTGCCTGTCGTCTTCATTTCTGCTACTGAAAGGAATGGGCCTTACTGGGAAAGTTTTAATTCGACAAACCAGTCAATTTACACAAAGAATAAAAAAAAGTGAAGACTGGAAGTGGGCTGTTGTGTTCAGAGAATTACAACTTTCCATGATGAATCTCATAACTTTCTACATCAAATCTCAAATGTTATATATTGATAAAGTTAAAAGCTAGCTAAAGAGAAGCTAATATGCAGAACTATGAGAGGGAAAAACACTTAAAGACATATGGAGCATGCGTCGTTACCATATACAGTATACACAGTGTTTATTTTGAGACGAAAGTGAGAAGAAAGTGTTTTGTTCAGACTGAAATCTAGTTTAACAAATGAATGACATGGGATTGTCCATCAGCTTCAATAAGCCAGAGGAAGCACTAAAATTAGCCAAGCAGACCATCAGGGCAGCGCTGTGCGTGGGAAGCGAAGCGCCGACAGAGAATTTCCCTCCATATTGTTGAGCTATCAGAGCCGTATGTTGACTGAACGAGGCCTTAATGAAACACAGAGACGGTGTCACTCCAAGGTTAATAAATATGAATTATGGATGTCTGTACACCCAGAGGGAAGCCCTGCATCTTAATGTTACGGGATTTGTTTGTCTAATAATGGAAATTTATGTCAGTTTAAGGAAAATACGTATCAAAACAACATTATGCAATGTCCCGTAGAGCGCACGCACACGCGCACACGCGCACACACACACAGTCGCTAAACCCTTTTCCATGTGCTGGTTTCTATGGAGACAATATCTGCCATTCAGGATGCTGGAGTTAAAAATAGGAACCCCTTTCAATTTATACTCTCCTCCCCTTTCATGTTGTCATGTCTCTCTTCTTTTTTTCTTAAGTGACCAATCCATTAGCAAATGCTGCATCCTGAAACCATCAACGCCTTCTTCCCAGATCAATCTGGAAACCAATAAACTGGCTCATATTTGACATGCTTTAATTGAAATACTAATTATTCAATTTCTTTCATAACTTTAAACCGTCTCATTTCAAATTTGTCAAGAGAAAAATAAAACGAACCACCACCGAGAGTTTCTTCATTTGTTTGGTCGACGTCCTTCAGCGCAAATTTTTAATTACAGAGTCCACCGCTGTTGCCGGAGCACAATGCATGCTGGGTGGTGATGATTAGGCATTTCAGTCAAGTTAAATTAGTGAGCTACCAGCAGTAAATATACTGATCCCCTCCCACGTGAAAAGCTTCCTGAAGACCCACAGCTGTGTGCTCAGTGTGACACTCAACCTCAAAGCAACCTAGAATTTAATTTTGATGATTTTGGGCTCGTTTCTTAGTAACTCTGTCTTAGGAATAAGAGTTTCTTCTGTACACTGGACTGTAGTTCTTGATTAATTTCATCTCTGATTTGTTTTATTTTCCCTAGAGTTGCAATTATTTTTCCCCTCAAGACAGCTTTACATGCGTCCCATCTTTGTCTTTATATTCATGGCTCATCTCAAATGTGACCCTTTGGGATATTAAGGTTGCCACCCCCCTTCTACCACCTGATTTATGTGATGCACTAAATACCCGATTAAAGCCCATTCTTTTAAGTTTACTATGCTCTACCTGTGAGAGATGAGTTTCCTGGAAGAATACTACTTCTGCTTTTTCTTTTTTCCTAATATTTTCGCCCTTTTTATTGGGTTATGAACTCCTTTTACATTATAAGTTGTGATTCTAAGAGGTGATAATGAAGCCATAGATTGCATATTGCTGGATATTCAGAACGAGTAAAATAAATGTTTACATTCTTTATCTCCCCTTTAACCTCTCGGAAGCCATAACCATTTTCTTGATGTGATTCTCTTAGCTCTTGGAGAATAGTTTGTAGATTAGCTGTCTCATTAGCTGAGTCGTTAGCCGCTAATGATGCTTCAGAGTCCGAAAGGCTAGCCATGTCTTCTTCGTTTGTTTCTTCTTCTCTTAACATCGATTTTCGGGACAACAGAGTGCTCCTTGATTTGGAATTGGGCATTCCGGCTCACTTTTAAGTTTATTTTATATCCCGCATTTGTAAATAACCTTTGCTTTTTAAAATTTGTTGGGGAGCCACCTGGTTAAGCTGTCGTCATCTTGCTTGCTCACCCGGAAGTCCGGCCTGCCATGTTTTTGAATTTAAAAAAATATTTACAGTTGACAGAAAATATCACTAGGTAATTATGTGGTATTATTCACAATACCTAAACACCAAATATAAAGTCTTAAAAAAACAAGGCGAGCATTAAAAAACAAACCTAAACCAAATAAACAAGCAACGCTCAGCCTGGCAGGGGGAAGTAAAGTCTGGTGGCCCGCCAGGCTTATAGTACACTTCGGGAAACCCTGTCTAAGAAGAGGTAACACATAATAATTTAATTTAAATGAAAAGAAAACAGTGCTTTAAAGCGTTTTTTTTTTTTTTAATAAAACGAGCTGCAGAGTTCAAACTTTAGTCAGGCGCTGCTTTATCTAGCCTGACTAGACTAGATGTCATTCTAGATACGGATGTGTGGCAACACTGAGGACCTGTTGAAAGACATCAAGTTTGCACTCACCACAACATGTGATCTGGTTAAACTAACACTGCAGCGCCTACAGTGGAATGGCTTAGATCAAATGGAAAAACAAAACTAAAAAAAATTACTCATTTTCAAAAAGGTCTAGTCAAAGTCAAAAGTGGAATTTCAATTGAGAACATGTGGCAAGATAAAAAAAAAAAACATGTAGTTCTAAAAGCAGCAGCAGTTAGAAGTTAGGGCTGCAAGTAATTGATTATTCTTTTAATTACTCTGATGATTAATCGTGTTAATTTGGTGCATTCTGCACTTTTTTCATTTAACCACTTCAGCCTTTTTATGTGACCTTAAAAATATATAAAAAGATAAAACATTTTAGCACCTATAATGCATTTGATAGGGTTTTTTTTAAGTGAACACTTCATCAACGTAACAAAAGATGCATCTGCAGCTGCTAAAAATAAAATAAAACACTAAAAGCTCAGCTCTTTCGGCTTGACAGACATCAATACAGTGTCGTTCTGATTCGGTGATTGTTTTACTTTTGGATAAACCAATCAGAAATCGGATAGCAAAAAGTGCTGAACAGGAGATTTTATTTTCTGAATTTGAACCAGGTGAAGCTAAAACTAGGAGTTTTTAGTAGAAGAAAATAAGTTATTTTTTATGCTAAATGCAAAATGTATAGATTTTTTTTGTATAGTTTTGGTTTAATTACTGCTGAGTGTGTTGTTTTTTCAGAAAATGGCCTTTTTTGAGTCTGTACACTCCAACTAATAATTACGATGATTTAATAATCGATTCATCGCAATTGTTTCGTTCCCAGTTGTAATACAGGTACGGTTGCATAATATGTACGGGACAATTCGCAAGCTGATTTTCCAACTTGCAACATGAACCCAAATTAACTTCCTTTCCCGAGGGTCCGACAGCTGACGCCACAGGAATCCTGCTCGTGGTGTTTTCGACCGTCATCAACAATAAGAGAGACAATACTAAACAACAGCGATCTTCAGTGCTGATTGAGATTTTAATAAATGTAGAAGTACAATGTGTGAATAATGTCTTGAACCAGGCAGACTAAATATAAAACCATCTCTGGAGTTGCATCAGTGGAGGTCAGAACCATCGAACCGGCTGATGGTCTCCACAGACCCTCCCTCAGCCCTGGTACTGAAATAGCCCTCACTGTTTGGTGGCGACTATAAGGAGAAGCTCTGGGTTGGGAAACTCTGCCGTCTTTCAGGAAATCCTATTGTTTGAATAAGATTGTCATGCTAGAAATACTTTATATGACATAACAAAGCGCCTTCTGGATAGCTAAAATTAATGACCGAACAATTACATTACGTTACAAACATTACATTACAAACATTACGTTAGATTATTGTTTGTTTTAAATGTGTCTTAATTATATTGTTACATAACATACCTTAAATACTTTAGGCGGCAAAAACACAGCAATATTTTTTGTTGTAGGTATGATGCAAGTTTGTTTAGTTGCAATTTGGAGGATTTTTTTATTTTTGCTTCAGTGATGCAGAAACAACAAAAAAATTGCTTTATTTTACAATAAACATTTTACAGTTAATGTGGTTCAATTTTCTATTTTCTATGGGGGGAATACACTATTATTCATATCTTAAATTCAGGTACCTTCATTTATGTTCCATCAATTCACAATAAATGTCATCTGAAGGCACTTTACAGTATAAATAAATAAAGTCATAAAGAGAAACTTGTGTTGGCTAAAATCAGAATCAGCACATCAGAGCTTTGTAAGAAATAGGTGATTGGTAGTCAGGGACAAAATCTATGATCAGTGCATCTGTAATCAAAAACATAAAACTATTTTGGATTTTTATTACAATAGCCATAAAAAAATAATATCAATATTAATAATGTTTGATGTTTTAGACAATGTAAAAGCAAATATATGGAAACATTTTTGTTGTTATTGTTGTTTATTCTGTTCTAGAACTAGTCTTAACTATAACCAAAATGCACTTTTTCCAGGTATTTCTACTTTCTGAGTTTAGACAGAATTAGGAGCAGAGAAGAAGACAGGAAACCAAGTTGATTAAACTGGGCGGGGCCGCTTTAGCTGCTCTCTGTGATCACGCGCCTCTAAACGGATCCATACCGCCGTCACTCCGGCGCCACGCCCCTTTATTGACTCGGATTAGGCATTAAGACACAGTCATCAGACTGGACAGTGTGAACACAAAACGCTTTCATAGCCCTTTAATGCGAATGAAGCGTGAATTGCATCATGCTTTGCAACACTATGATGTAGGGTGTTTCTGGAGAAGTCCCACCAGTCAGGCTAAAGCTTCAAGCCCAGGCAGGCTAATGTTTCTCCAGGCACTAACCGTCTCACCAATCAGTTTATTTTAAGCTGTTTCTCCTTGCCAAGCTCAGTATCAAACCAAAAATAAATAAATAAAATAAAAAACACATGCTCCATGATTAATAAAGCCGTCATGACATTCAAAGCTATTTATCTGTGCTTTAGTGTAAAGCATTGGTTAAAAAAACGACCTATTTTGTTTATCAATTTAATGTTTTGATTTTCAGCTATGCTTTTTTTTCCAAGAAACGTTCACTCAGACAAACAGGGGCATCGACTAACGGAGAGTACAATTTGTTAAAACTGGTCATTTATATTTTTGAGCTTCTCGGTGGTTTCGAGTCGTCGAGGGAACAATTAAGATAATTTTCAAAGAGCTCTGCTCTGTAAATGAGATGAAACCAGATGAGCTCGTGAGGCTTGTTTCCAGCCACAGGATAACATCACCCCGCTAAGCGGCTACATGGTGTTAGCATCTGAGCCCAGGCTAGCGTTACCTTGTCCTCTGATGGCTGCTGCTCTAACGGAGGCTCGCCGTCTTTGGCTCCTCGATGCCGCAGCTCTGTCATCTTAGCGGGTGGAAGCCTGACGTTGACGGCCAAGGTCCGGAGGTTCCGACAACAGACTATTTGTTGGATAAACTTCTGGTAAGGTCTAAGCTAAATGTTGCACGGCAACACTTTTCCCCCCCAACTCTCAAAGCGCAAATCAATGACAGGGAGATTTTCCGGTTTTCAAAATAAATGTAACGCAACTTTAAAGTGCTTTACAGTAAAAATAAAAGAACGACGTTGAAAGAATCACGATAAAAACATAAGAACAAAAGTATATGTCACATAAGAGGAAAGGATTCTTGCAGCAGCTTTCTGGATTTTTTTCCCTTTCTTTTACAGAGGCGTATGAATAATATTGAAATGGTCTAACCTACTGAAAATAAAAGCTAATATATTGTATAAATTCATTACACATCTAAGTCTAACATGCACAAAGAAATACTATTGGACATGTTAGTCATAATAGCTAATAAAAAAAAACAACCTTTTCCTTAATTTTGCTAATTCTAGCTAAACTCCAAAACAATTTCTAAAACAGTTTTAGAAGCTGCACATTCTGGTAAAAGCCATAATGCTCCACTTATGAAAGGGCCTCAACCACTTGACACAGACACAGACAACAATACTGAGACGAGTTTTTATTTTACCTACAAGTCAGGACACAATTAAGAAAAAAAAAGTAATTTATTTACTTTTTTCACTTCACATGAACAAGATACAACACACCATTTAACACATTTTTACAATTATACAAAACCAATCTAATGTAAGTTTCACATTAGCTTAAAGTGATAAAGGAATTCAGGTCCAGTTTATTTTGTGTTACACCCCACAGTTATATGTATTGAGAAACATGCCCATGTTTTTAAGGGTTACGGTCATTGTTTGAAGTCTTTAAAATATACTGTCATTTCCACCGTTAACACTAGATGGCGGCAGAAGCTGTATAAAAGGCTCTACGTGTGGATGTGGTCGCTCTGCGGCCTGTTAGCATCCTTCAGACATAAATATTTAACAACCTACCGGTGTTGCAGCAGGACGGGAAGATGAGAGAGCTCTCTGCTGCCCAAATACAACAGCTCGATAGGCTCCGACTGCAAACCGTCTCAATATCTCAATATCCTCCATAACCCACTCATAGAGCAGAATAATTTACAACTAACTAGTTTAGTGCACGAGTTCGACTTTGACAGGTCTTTGCGTTATCAATAATACGGAAGTAAACTTGAAACATTCAAGTATTAGAGAAAAGTCAAAATAGTGACAAAATAGTGAGACAATATGATATAAAATTGTTTTGTTGTTGTTGTTGTTTTTTCATCTAATTTATGGGATTTTTATGTGGATTGTGAATTTCATTAAAGAACAAATATTCCATGTTCAGATGCGTAATTAATCGTATTTCTGCCAATCCTGACGATCTCACCATAAAATCGCTTGTGTTCGATTTTATGGTGAGAGACAGGCTAGCAAGATAAACATGTTGTTTTGTTGTTGTTTTCTGGTCTTTCTTTTCTTATCCACCAGTAGATTCGTGTAAAATCGACTTTGCAAACAAAACGAGCAGCTTCATCGGATGACAACGAGATACCACAGAGAAAACTGTGCAATAATATCACAGCTCTCATACCCGCACCCACCCACCCCACAGATCAGGACTGCAGTGCTTTTAGGTTAAAACTGTCTCGTCCTTTGCTGCAGTGCAATCCCCTTCGCTGCACGCAGTCGTCGTGGCGTGACCGTCAAAGTCCTGCGCTGGACGGCCGCTTCGCTGTTTCTTGCTTCCCGAGGCTCTGAGTCACAGACACGCCAACATGTTTTTGGGCCGGGGCTCCTCAAAAAGAACTGCGGGGCTCTGGGACATCTGCAATGCAGGAATCTAAATTTAGCATCAGAGGTTCGGGGAGAGGAGGAGAAGGAGAGACAGAAGAATAGACGAGAGGACGGGAAACAACGACGGCGCCGGTGTTCTGCAACAGAGGTCCACTTGTTTCACTGCGCCAACTTTTCCCTTAATTACTCAAAACCGCCAGTCCTGTTTGTTTGTGTGAGCTGTGAATTAAAAAAGAAAAAACAAAAACGACAGCTGAAAGCTTCCTGGTACGAAGAAAAACAGTAGAAATCACACAGAAAGTTAGACATGAAGAGCATTAACCGGGTTTCCATTAACCAAATGGCGCAAATTGAAATTACGAAAAATAAATTCGCTTATATAAACAGTAAATTTCTAAAAATAATAATAATAAAAAGTTTCTTAAAAAAAAGTTTCTGAGCTAGGTTGAGGTGTTTTTTTTCGGCCGCATGGAAACCTGTTTTTTACTCACACAAGTCAGTTATCAACAGCCGGATTTTACTACTGGCGAAAACGAGAAAAGGCAAGCGGAAGTAGGAGGATGACGGTTTGTTTGTGTAACCCCCCCGCCCAATTGTAGCTGGCTCTCAGAGCTCTGGCAGCATCACACAGTTAATAAAATGTTGTGTGCCATTCCAACGTGTTGAATCCATAAGTTTTCTGTAAAATCACTGACTAGTTTCCCCAAAATGCCACATTCCAAGCCACTCCAAGCTTGTTGTTCCAACCCCTGAATCAGAGGCCAACGTTTCCTCTGCAGGCTGATTGATGCTAAGCGCTAGCACCATTAGAATTATGAATATACATCCCATGTAGCTGTTTACATCTGTCACTGCCATGATTTTTAATGACTTATCCTGTGAACAAGCTTGTTGACACAAAGTTCTAATTTAATTTCTAATTTAATGGCAACACTGCAACTGTGTAATTGTGTTTTTTTATGTTTTTTTTTGTTTTTTTTACATTAGCAGAATATAGACAAAGATTTGTAATGGAAACACAACTAGTGCAGGTGTTTTAGTCTCCACAAAAGGAGAAACTCAACATCTCCAGACTGCAGCAGGAACGCTGCGCTGCGGTTTTATGGCTTCATCTCAAATTGTCCCTGGAGAACAGAGCGGAGGGAGAGGTTCCATTATGTATGCACCTGCATAACAACAAAATCTGCTGACAGCTGCAGCTGAGGATGCACAGCAGATGAAGGACGAGCCCACAGAAGGTCCAGCCAGGACCACCGGCCCCCTGCGGAGCTGATCAGACTCTAATTTTCAGTAAACATGCTCTCTGAACCGGTCTGTGCTGAGTCGGGACTTTCTGTGTCACTGCAGGGAGGCGACTGTCAATAAATGTGGACTCAGACAGCAGAGCAGACTGCTGACAGAAGCACCGCTTCCCGTCCTCCTTAAGGGATCCAGGGTGTGGTCCGAGGCTTTCTGTTGGTTTCATCCCGGCGTCCTGCAGATTCAGGTCCAGATCTTCATCCATGTCCCGGAGGGAAATTAATTTTACAGCAAGTCACAGTGAGAACAAAAGAAACAACAACAATTAATATTTACCTATTCAAGACATGGCACTAAATTCCCCTGCTTTCAACTGGTGGAGGTTAAAAGCTCGAAAACTTGTCGATCAAAAACATAAGAGTGCCAGTGTGACTAAAAAGGTGAACAATAAATAAACCAATTAATACACAATACTTAATCTGAAATCCCTCAATAAGAGGCAAAAGAGACAATTCAAATTATTTACAATTACAAACTGTTCCCATCAACTACAAGAGTAACAACTTCACATAATCAAGAACCGGATGTTACTACTGGCGAAAATCATGAAGAAGACGACAGGAAGTGGTAGGAGGACGATGATGCGGCATGTTTTTTATAAATGACTTATCACGTGAACTACGTTATTCATGTGTGATTTTAATTGCGTTTTTTATTTAATGGAAACACGGCAATTGCAAAGCTCTGTTTTTTCGACAGTTGCGTAATATTGACAAAGTTGTTTTGTGCACATTGGTAATGGAGACGCAGATACTAACAGATGGAGTAGAATTAGCTTGTTTTCAAAGTGTGAGAGTCGAAAAGGTCACAAATTCAGACATTCACAATTTCTGATAAGGCAGTTTTTATCTCTTACACCAAGATTTCCTGACAAGCAAATCAAAGTAAAAGTCAACATAGATCCAAGATAAAATTTATAAGATTATACACATCAGAGTTCTGTCTAAGTTGAGTTTTGCCATTTTCTGAAGATACAAAATACTTTGTCGCAAAGTATTTCTGTGTTTGCATGAAACTTCGGCTTATTGCAGCAAAGTTTATTTCCTTCAGTGATAAAAAGGAGTTTCAGGTTCACTCCCACTTTGACTGGAATAATTTGATAGTCAATAATTTCTTAATACCAATAAAAAATGCTACTTTCACTGTCAGATTATTTCACTTATAAGAACTTGTTACAAGTGAAATAACCTGTCAGTGCAAATAGTACTTATTTCATCAATAGGAGTTACTTACAGAAAACAAACTCCTGCATCTGGCTGAAAAGTTGAGTTAGCCTCAGTTTAAGTGTACTAAGATATTTACATCTAGAAAGTGGAACAAAAACACTGTAAGATTTTTTAGCTCTAGTGGCCTTTATTTGAAAGTAGTTAAACAGGAAAGAGAGTAATGAGAGAGGGGGAAGACATGCAGCAAATGTCACCAGGCCGGGAATCGAACCTGCGACCACCACCACAAGGACCAAGGCCTCAATACGCGGGTTGTGCTTTGCCCCTGCACCACCACAGCATCCAAGATTTTGTGTTTTTGCAGTGCAGGTGTGATAATCGAGATCTGAATGCTTTTACTTACAAATTCATTCCTACCTGCACTTAATGAAAATGTACTTAGATCTGTTTATTGCTAAAAACAAACACTCTCCACTGTACCAAAGAAAACTAAGAACACAAAAAGTAGCATAGTCACAAAGAAAAAAAAATCAGGTTGTGATTAAGTTGTTGCTTTGGACAGCTATGCTGGTGCTGGAACCTGCCATCCATCTGGCTCCATCCGGTGTGGGCGCCGGCAGACAGGAGCAGGGATGAGGCAGCAGGAACAGCCTGAAGACTTTATCCAGCTTGCTCAGGAGCTATCGACTGCAGCCTGTGAGGTAATGATGCAGGCTGTGGAAGGAGCTAGACTGGAAAAATAATTTCTCAACAATTTCCTGCCTTTTTCTTGCTCTGCCATGTGCAGTGGGTAAAATGAGTTTACAAAGTTGGTTAGGAGTTTGTGTTAGAAAGGCGTGCCGCTAAGAAAATAAACAGAACAGGTTTCAAAAAGTAACACAACTCAGTCTGTGTTAATTGATTAAAATGATGTGAAATGCAAAAAGTAGCTGCTCTCTTATTGATTTATCCAGAATTACCTTCCCCCCACCCCACTTGGTCCTACTAGTTGTATGATACGTTGTCAGTGTGTGTGGACTGAAAATTACCTCCGCTGTCCAAAAACTGTGGTTCATCACAGTGAAATTCTGTATCAACAAGAGAGATAATATGTTCACACAACCGGGTTTGGGTCATTTATTCCTGAAAAGCGACAGTGTTATGTAAAATTTACTCTTTTTTTTGCTCACATCTTTCAGTGAACGACTCAGGAATCGCTCCATAAAAAAAAAAAAAATATATATATATCATCCTGCGAATTTCCGGAAGTTCTTGTCAGTTCTTGTTAGCTGGTAGTGTTTAGTCACTACTTGCCACATTCTTTCAGACTAAACTAGATCAGTCATATCACTACATGGCGTTTAAATAAATTAGATGAAAACAGCTTAAAAAAAATTCTTTTGTAAAACGTTTTAATATTTTTAATCGTTTTTATTCAACTATAAACACAAATAGAGTGGAGAAAAGTTTTGTTTATTAAATGTCTTTATTTGGCTTTGAGAGGAAACAGCAGCATGTACAATCACAGTTGTTTAGCAGAATCTGGAAAGTGTCAGCAACTCCTCTGTCGTACCGGGAACAAGTGAAGTTCAGGTGGAAACAAGTTTTATTTTACTTTCTTTTATGGTTAAGGCAAGGTTTTTTTTCTTCTTCTTTCTTTTAAATGTAATTTTATTTCTTTAACTGAGCACAAAACAAGCAAAAAGTCTTTCTCATCCAGCTAATATTCAAGCTCCAGGTATCAGGCCATGCATTCAAACCAGTTGCTTGATTCATTTGCCAAAACAAAACCTGGGAAGACAAACGAAGAACAGCAGCGATGAAAAACGTCTCAGGGCAGCGTGAGAGAAAGTTATGGTGAATATAGCCCTTATTTATGACTCTACACCTCAAAACCCATCATCTAACCCACTCTTTATATATCCAGCTTAACTAAACAAAGGGGCTACTGTGTTAACATGAGATTAAAAAGAAAATGCTTTTCTTTTTCAGTGGTATGTAGCAGATTCTTCTTGACAAATGAATCAATCAAAGGTAGGGATCGGTTATAATCCCCTGCCACCCAAAAGAAATACACAGAGCAGCAGTTAAAGCTTCACATTTTCATCCACATGGATGCACACAGCAGCAGCGCTCCTCCTCTCTTACACACTGCCCAGCCTCACACACACACACACACACACACACACACACACACACACACACACACACACACACACACACACACGCACACACACACCTACACACACACACACACACACACACATGCACCCACGCACGCACGCACACACACACACACACGCACACACACACACACACACACACACACACACACACACATCTTTCTCCAGGCTCAGGCTGCAATAAATAAAAGCGGGACGAACGCAGAACTGAGTGGACTGAAATGAGTCGGAGCGCTTGAAATGTGGGTTTGGGGGGGGGGGAACTAAATCATAACCCACATGGAAGCATTCTTTGTTTTTCTGCTAGTATTTCTGCCTTAAAGCTGACATTCACATTCAGGACCGAGCTGGTGGGGGGTCGGGTGCTCTATGATAAAATCCTTCCCCAACTTGTATATGTAGAAATAAAATAGCACCATAATAGTTGGACTGGCTGCTTCACATGCTCCAGGATCTGTGCGTTTGTCTTTCAAAGTCTGTGTGCTGACTGCGGTGTTACCTCTGAGGCTGGCTCGCTGTTTGCTAATGTGAATATGGATCATCTGTGGCACATAACGCAGGAGGAAACATTCACACCTGCTTCTCATTTTTTACCTTATTGTGGTAAACATGCTAGTAGCCCTCTGTACTTCAGAGACGTGGAAACGGTGGATAGTGGACTGAATAAATACTTGCTACCATTTTACAGCTCACTAATGCTATACTTCTCCTTCTAAAGTGATCCCGTCTGACCCGGTGTGGACGTGGCAGGCATTTGGAGCAGGTGGATGTGTGTGGATGGGTGGGGGAAGCTCGGAGGGTGATGTGAACAGGAAGCAGACCCAGAGGTGATCGGTGGGATGAGAGATGAGTTATTGATGCTGATGACGACACAAACTGTTTAGCTCTTGCTGCTCTTCCCGGTGGAGCTCTCCTTCTCCTTCTCTTTCTCCTTTCCCTTCTCCCCCTTTTCCTTTGGCTTCTCCTCTTCCTCCCCCTCTTCTTCTTCCTCCTCCTCTTCCTCTACTCCCCCCTCACCTTCCTCCTGCTCCTCTGCCTCTTCTCCCTCCTCGCCCTCCTCCTCTCCCTCTTCCTCTTCCTCCTCCTTCTCCTCATCTTCTCCTGCCTCCTCTTCCTCCTCTTCCGGCTTGGGCTTCCTGTAAGCTCCGAGGGCGTAGGCGCGGGCCGATGTGTAGGACAGACCGGGATAGCCAGACTGGACCATGGCGCTGCCCACCGAGCTGAGGCGGCACTCCTCACCTTCCAGAAGCTTCCTGTACAGACAGAGAGGCAAACAGGTGAGGAGGGGGAGGACGACGTCTCCCTGCAGCCTGGATTTGGAGTGTTCCTCATCTCAGTATGTTTCAAAAGAAGAATACAACTGTCATGTGACGATGTTACCTTCAGTAGTTATAAAAATCCTATATGTATTAAATATGACTTAAAAGAAATTTCACTTCGTAATCAAACGCCTGGAAATTGGGCCTCTATCTCTTTAACAAATTCCACCTTCCTGAAACTCCACCTTCAGGAAGTCGTCACAACATGGCTCCTCTAGAAATTCTTTAACAACGTTTTTACCAGCATTGCACTGAGAATTTGCTCCTATAATGAGCTCAGTAGATGCACTTTTCCACCAGGTGTTTGCTAATTGCTGCTGGCTAGTCTGAAGGAGCTGAGTGGGAGAGTCATGGGGGAGGGCTGCTCTGTGAGGCGGAAACTTGGAAACTGCAGTTCTGAGGAGGAGCTGTGCCTCAAAGGTGGAGCTAGGTCCACCCAAGTGTTTTGCACAGCTGAATGGTTATCATGTGAGATTAAAGGGTTTCCTAAACATTCAAGAAAGAATCAAAGCAACACTCCAGGTATGTTTTTGATGAGACATTATAACATGGTGTAAAGCTACAAAAAAGTCAATTCTAAATAATACTGATCCTCTAAAAATGTAGCAGCAAAGGTAAAAGTAAAATTGTGTCCATAACCAGGATGTCTCAATTGTAATTAATTACAAATTCATATCTAACTTTGCAAGCTTGGAAAATACAACTGATAAGCAGCTTATAAACAAACCATATCATAAATAATGAAAGAACAAGTGTCCCAAAAATATTCCACAGCATCTAGCCAAATATTAATTGTTGATGAACTGTTGTTGTTGTGATTTTTTTCCACACTGCCTCTCAGGTCTTTGCTTTTATGGGCCACTACTTGTTTCAGTTGAGAACAATGACAAAACTGAACAAAACCGGACCACACATCACCTCAAGTAATAAAAAACATCACATAAAAACAAAAAATGGGAGGATCACATAATTCACAAGTACAATCAATAGAAATCAGTTCTACTTGGCTTACATACTGAACTTAATTGGTAGGAACCTTAAAAAATGTATTGTAGAATAATCCATCCTCACAAATACAACGCTAACCTGCAACCATTACTTCCTGCTGTTTTAAGTTCTTATCTAAACAATAAACCATGTAAAGGAACCATTAATGCTTTGTAAGGGATATGGATCGGTTCACTCTCCCTGTAAGGAAACTAATCTGACCTGTAAGCGGCGATCTCGATGTCCAGGGCCATCTTGACATTCAGCAGGTCCTGGTATTCACGCAGGTGACGCGACATCTCTCCCTTGGTGCTCCGCAGGGCAGCCTCCAGCTGCTGGATAGTGTCCTGCACACAACCACAGATACAGAATGAAATCTGGGTCATAATTTAGAAAGGGCTTACAAGGGCGGCAGCCCAGGGCTTCATGTTTTGTGGGGTCCCAAAGACTTTTCTTTTCTTTCTCTGTTTATTTATTTTTACAAAGGTGTGTTTTGAAAACACTGTACTTTATGTAAAACTGACAAGCAGATATCAAGTGAGTTGTATTCATTTTGGGGTATTTTTATGAATACAATATTCAAGTATTTCAAAATTATGAAATTATGGCCAATGTCTTTGGAAACAACATGGAGTTATTGGCCGGGGGACATATTAGACCTTTCATGCATCATTTAATACCTGCTGATATGTAAGACTGTGTGTTAATGGACTGTAATTTGCATTAATACAAAATGTTTTTCTGTAGTGGATAGGGCACCAAAACTGCCTCCAGCCCAGGGGCCCATATCCTCTTAAATCAGGCCCTGACAATAAACTTAAGCTGTTAAGTGATCCTTAATAAAACGCTTTAATCTATGTTGCTAAGTGATTGCCTTTTTACGAACTCACCTCATTCGATAAGCGATAAATAATTCACTTACTTGCATCTCTCCAATTTCATTGTTGTGACGGTCTTCCATCTCGCCAATCTGCCTCTCCAGGGCTTCGTTGTGGCCCCGGAGGGCCTCGATCTCCAGGGTGCGGGCTTGCACCTGCCTGCGGTACTCGCTCAGCTCCTCCTTGGAGTGCTTGATGGCGTCCTGGTTGCGTGTGGCAGCCTCTGTCACAGTGGCAAACTTGGAGCGGTACCACTCCTCGGCCTGGACCTGGTTCCGGGCCGACAGGTTCTCGTACTGAGCCCGGATGTCCTTCAGGGCTGCAGCCAGGTCCGGTTTACTCATGTCCATCTCCACTGACACCTTGAAGAAGGAAAGAGAATAATAATAAGAAGTCCCAGCTGCAACATGAACTCTGAACCCCAAAAAGAATCACCAGACTGCTTCATAGCTGTTATTTCACTGATTTCAGGTTCAAACATTTAGGAAAGTAAAATGTTTCAAAGTCACTGATACTAAATCATAACTTTGCCTATGCCTTTTTCTTAAAAACAAAAATAAAATAAAATAAAATAAAAAAAAATCATATTAACTATTTTAGTTTCACTTGAAAATATACATTCAGAGACTGTTACATCAAACCTCAGGATTAAGACATACATTTTAAATTCAACCATTTTAGCAGTGTGGAGGCATCCCAGGTGACTGTTTAAGGATGCATGAGGTGAGCTGTATGCTGATCCACTGAGCTGATGCAGGACAGATGGATGGGCTGCTGACTCAAACTCCCTCTGCTGCAGAAAACTGCAGTCGACATCTTGTATAGCTATCATCCCTTCCCTGCAGGGCAATGTAAAAACTGGACTAATTTACCCAGCATCCATTACTGCTTAATCACTGACTAATTTAGCTAACTGTAGCGCATATTGTCACTTTTTTTTTGTCACATTCTGCCTGTGACAAAACTAGACTATTTTGCCTAGTTTATATATATATAAACTAGGCAAATTTTTACAGATGAAATTTTTTTCATCTGTAAATTTCTGAGCTGTGCTGCTGTCGCTTGAAATGGAGTCGCATACTCCACACAGTCTGCGCCCCGTCGTCCCAGAGGACGACCACACCCCTGGATTTACCAGTTATTATTCCGGATTGTATCCGCGCTTTAAACCCTCTGACATTAATCAACGAGTACGACCACTTATTAAATCTCCCTCGTTGTTACTTTATCGATTTAACAACTTTTAAAGCTATTTGTCTCATTATATAGAACGTTACGCGCGACGTAGCAGGATATGAAAATGGTAAAATTCATGTAAATTGTAAACTGATTGTGTCAAGTTAACGATTTTTTGATTAAAGGAGCTGCGTGACGCGGCGCGCGCGGCTGCTGCAGCGCAGGTCGCTAGTTCGGAGGAGGGCGGGACAGCGCGTGGTGCTGAAACGGAACTGCAGAGTCATCAATTTCCCAGTGCAGCAGTGCTCATAGTGAAGGACTCAGTAAAGGAAAATGTGTTCAAAACTCCTACAACTTAGACCTCACCTGGTCGCCTTCTTCCTGGTCGCTCGAGCAGGATAATAACGCATGATTTTGGTGGTTAGCTAAGCTAAAGTCATTGTAAAGACCGTGTAAAATATTCTAAATGTGATGTAAACTCGGAGCGCGGTCGGGAATATTAAAAAGTGCGTCACAACGCCGATATATACTAAGACTGGACGTCGATGGGACCTTAACACTGTTTTGGCGAATGCTCGTTTTGAATTAAACCAGAATAATGTGTGGAAAACGGAACCCAAAGAGTTAATTTAGCCCATTAATTTCACCCTAATCTCCTTTCATCCGCATTCAAAACCTTTTATCGCTGTAGGCATTTTCTTTGCACGTTCTTTTTTTCCTTTTTAGCAAGTTTTCTTGTGTACCTGCGTTGCCTGCAGGGATGCCTGCAGCTCCTGCAGCTCCTCTTCATGAACTTTCCTGAGGAAGGCGATCTCGTCCAGCAGAGACTCCACTTTCTTCTCCAGCTCCAGGCGGGCCAGGGTGGCGTCGTCCACGTCCTTCCGGTAGCCCTTCAGGGCGCTCTCCGCCTCCTCGCGCAGCCTGCTCTCCTCATCCAGCTTCTCCCGCACGCGCTCCAGCGTCTCGTTCATCTGGACGCAGTCCAGGTGCATCTGGCTCTTCTCGTGCGTCAGCTCCTCCACGCGCGCCCGCAGCTCGCGGATCTCCTGCTCGTAGAGCTCGTGCAGGCGCGACGGCTCGTTGTAACGCTGGCGCAGCAGCGTCACCTCGGCCTCCAGGACTTTGTTGTGCTGCTCCAGGTTGTGCACCTTCTCGATGAAGGACACGAAGCGGTCGTTGAGGCCCTGCAGCTGCTCCTTCTCGTTGGTGCGGATGATCTTGAGTTCGTTGGTGACGGCGGTGGACTGGGTCAGGTCCATGGCGGAATCCTGGATGGAGGAGAAGACGCGGCCGGGAGCCGCCGTCCTGCGGTAGGTGGCGGAGGAGACCGCGGAAGGGGAGCCATAAGCGCGGTGGCTGCTGCGGTATCCTGCGGAGTGCAGGCGGGACGGGCTGCCGCCGCTAGCCAGACCCACACGACCTGACCGGGGCGCCTCTCCGAAGATCCTGCGATAGGAGCTGCTGCTGTAAATGTCGCTGGAGTAACTCATGTTTCCTTTACTTCAGGGGAAGAGAAAAGAGAGAGGAGAGAGAGAAAGAAAGCGCAACTGTGTGTGCTTGTGTGTTTGTGTATGTGTGCGTATGTGTGTGGAGCTCAGGAGTGTGTGATGGAGAGTGCGCGGGAAGGACAGAAAGTGAGATGCGAGTGATGTCTGGCCCGGACAGGTGCTTTTATAGTCGGGGCTCTGCGGCGCATCATTTGACGCAGCAGCAGCGGAAGACGGGTGGGGGGGAAACCTGCGGGCCTTTGCAGAAAGCCTCCACCCTCCTGGGAGACTCCCAGTCACTCATGCAGCTATTCCCACCTTACACTGCAGTTCCTGAACACACACACACACACACACACACACACACACACACACACACACACACAAACACGCACACATTTTGCAGTCGGGATGTTCTCTCCATTTTTTTTTTTTTTTTGCCAAACTTTTCATATTATAGTGGGGTGCTTATCTCACTGTGATGATCTAGAAGTCAAATCGCAGATATGTTTTTTTTTTTTTTTTACCTTTTCATGTCGCTTTATGATCGACGCTGTCCACTGGCGCTGCAGTTTTCTCTGCTGCCCTGCAGAATGCTAAATGGGATCGATGTGCGCAGCCAGAGCGTGTGGTGGTGCGGCAGTCTGAACCCGGTCGCCTTCAGCGCCTCCGGTCCGCATTATGCTGCTCTGAGTCATGAGCTAGACAATTAGGCTAAAGAAGAACATGAGCTTTTTGTTGAAAAGAGTAGAATTTTGAAAAACTAGGATCACTGTTTGTTTATATGTGTGTGTTTTGGTGATGATTATTTATATATCTCGGAGCACCGACCAGGAGGTCACACATATCCATCACCAGATTTATTAGCTCTGGGAGGAAATGTGAGGTCCTGAGTCCCGCCCGGACTCCTGGGAGTTTTGATGCTGCGCTGGCCTTGGTTCTGATCCAGGCAGCAGGCAGGCGGGAGCAGAACCACGCCCCTGTTTTGGAGAGGAGACGACCCCCACCACGCCGGGGACTGCAGCCTCGCCACCTCCAAACATCCTCCAAGGCGACTCCGGAGCAGCTGAAGAAAAAAAAAAAGAAAAAAGAAAGAATAATAAACGACTGTCTGGCCAACAGCCCGAACAGTCCAGTCATGAAGGCATCTGGATTTAAAACTAAACTGAAGAAATGGTTTAAAACTGACATCAGGACATGACGAAGCTACTCGGAAAAAAAGATGGTGGCTTAGAATAGGTCTGCAAGCAAAAGTATTCACAGCTCTGAAAAATGTTGCATTTCGTCACGTCCAGTGATCAGTGTATGATGGGGGGTTTTATGCAGAGATGGAGAACTCAAAAAAAAAATTACTAAAGTAAGAATAGCGCGACTTCGATACACATTTTTACTCAAGTAGAAGTGAAAAGTAGTCGTTCAAGAAACTGCTCAGTAAAAGTAGAAAAGGATTGAGTAAAAGGCTGGAAAAGAGATTGACAACCCGGTCATATTCTTCCGATTCCGCTCGAATAAATTCTCGCTTGCAGCAGTCTGGGATTTCTCCCTTTCACTTCGATTTTCAACTGGGCCAAACAGTGAACAGAAGGAGAACTTATGAACGTTATCGAAGAATTGTAGTCTGCTTGTAGTTTTAGCTATTTTATTTTTTAAGACATCATCAGACACATTTTAAACACTAAAATAATAATAAAATTAATACACATAACATAATTACAAAGCAATAAATTGACGCTGAAGAAACTTTTTTCCCCAAAAAATATCTATAGTAAGAGTAGAGATACTTCATAACATTATACTCAATTACATTTATTAGCTTATTTGACAGGAACAATGCACACAAACAACAGAACGAGCAAATATAACTGAGTAAATGTATCTAGTTACTACCTAACTCTGGTTTTATGTGGCAGACCTACACAAAGCAGTGTCCTGGTGTGAAGTGAAAGGATAACAATGCATGGTTTTCAACATTTTTATGAACAGAAATCTAAAAAGTGTGGCATGCATGTATATCTAGCCCCTCTGAGTTGCTGCAGTCACAGCTCCACGTCTCTTCAGGTGTGTTTCTGTGGCTTTTGCACATGAAATGGAGCCTGTGCGGTAGTCTTTCCACTTTCCAGATCTTGTTTTATGTCCCGACTCTGCTTTAAATGTCTGCACAGTTTCCTCCCTCAGCTGTGTTTGGTGTTCTCTAACAAACTTCTGGGACTTTCACAGAACAGTTGCATTTATACCGAGATTATATCAGACAGATCGACTCTATTTAAGTTCTTTCTGAATTAGTACATATGGATTTTATTTAGGGTTAGCAGAATGAGGGAGAACTGAACACAAATGCACAGCACACATTTCTGTTTATCTGTAAAATCCTTATGTCACGTGACATTAATGCCCTTTTTTATATCACATAAAATCGCAACAAAGAGTTTTGTCATTGTAGTGGGATAAAAAGGGAAAAATTTCAACCCTCTAATACTGTGTATTGCGTCAGCAATGTCAATTAAATCCACTAGAGGGAGTTATTTCACCAATAATGCAAAGCTTCCTGATCTCATATAGGAGGAGGCTGTCGCCTAACTGAAGTGTAAATGATGGTAGAAAATTTAACGTTTATTTAAAATATAAATCTACAGTCTGGGATGGTAAAAGTACAAGACGGAAAAAACTGCATTCAGTCTGTAGATTGTTGAAGGTGCTTGGCTGAGTTATTTTGTTTTTGAATTAACTTCTGCTGTCATTTTCATCACATCTGGTTCTATATGTGTAGACTCTACAAAAAAATTAAGAGGATAAAATGGTAAAATTATGAGAATGAGTTCTTAATATCACGAGAATAAACCCATGTATCCAGAGAATAAAGTCATAACATAACGAGGAAAAAAAGTCATAATTTAATGAGAATAAAGTCGAAATCATACGAGAATAAAATCAGAATATTTTGAGAATAAACTGACAATATTGCAACTTTATTATTCTCGTAATTTTATTCGTTGTTTTTCCTTGTGTGGCCCTAATGCTCCGCTAGAAGCCATTTTGCAGCTGCTCTGCTAGCTAAGTTTTAGCTAGACGACGCAAACAAGCACATTCGAGCAAAATCCTACTAGGAAATCTGCCTTTCATTTCAAGTTCTGATGTCGGATGTGAACTCAAGAAAACCAAACACTGAAACCGAACCAGAGGGTGATCAAACAAGGTATTATTTGTACGGTTTGCAAATTTTTTCCAGTTTAGTCCAGTTCCAGTTTTACTTGTGAAGCACGTTGAACACAGCGCTGAGCCAGGTGCTGTGCAGATAAGTCAGTAAGAAATTTATGACTCACGCTAATGTCGTAGAACACACTAACTTTTCCAGTTTTTAATTGCAATTCAAGTCGTTCAAGTCTAATGAACTGCTTGAAATGTTACAAAGGCAGGAGTGGCCTGCCAGAGGATAAAGATAAGGTAAGCCACTAACTGAAAACTGATGTACATTTCAGGGTTATACACAAAGGCCTTTTTTGTGGAACACAAAATACGTTGATGGAGGTTGATCAGTTTTTCTAAATTACTGCAGAAAGTATCATGTTCCTAGAAAAATTACGAGAAAAAGACAACTAACAATGGAAGAGAGACAGACCATCATAACACTACAATAAATGTTGGTCTTTTCTACTGAGAAATTGCAAAGAAAATCAAGATGTCAGTGAGTACAGTTTTCTTCACCATCAGGAACTCAGAAACTCTGACAGGAAGAGATCTGGCAAACCAAAGCCACAACTGAATCAGAAGACAAGTCTGAGAGTTAACAGCTTCAAGCCAGTGATTGTAGCAATGGTGGACAACGTACTCAACTCAAGTACTTGAGTAAAATGTTAATACTCATTGTCAAATCTCACTCAACGACAAGAAAATGTTGTTCGGTCAAAAGTTTATTCAAGTTAAAAAGTGATGATGTACTTACTTTTGAAAATACTGAAGTAGTCCAAGTAACTCCAAATCCCATTTGTGAGTGGCTACTGTGACTAATTCCCCTTCTTGTTAGGAACACAGCGTGTGTTTAGCAGCATTTCAGCAAAGAAAAACAGCAACAGCCGACTACAAAGCTACACTGAGCCACAAGGAACGAGTAACGACAAGCTTCCTAGAAATCTAGAGGAGTGAAAGACATGCAGTCCCCCAAAAAATAAATACTGAAGTACAGATACTACAAAAAAAAAATACAATACTCACGTAAATGCTCCCTGTTCCCTGTTACTGTAGTAACCAAGTCTAAGTCTCATTTGTGAAGTATTTGGGCCTCTTGTTCTAGGATGGAACAAATCTGGCCTGCGATGCAAATGGAGACTCTTGTGTTTTGGGGGGTGAAATTTTATCAAACAAAACTGTATTTCGAACAACAAACAATTATTTCTCATCTACAAACCGGATTTCTGCATTCATCTTAATCTCGTAGAAAGCAGAACCACAAACATCTGGCAACTTTTACACATTTGGTTTGCCCGTGCCTGTTGATCAAGACAGCATTTGGAAAAAACACCGATGCTTTTTGTCCTATTGTTTTTGCTGAGCTGAGATGAAAAATTTTGCACCTTTGACAATTTACAGAACACTTGTAGAAAAAAATTAGTTTTGTTACTTTCAATAAAATCTTGTATGTTTAGTTTATTGAGTAGACAAAAAATGTATTAAAACTTTCATTGGTATATAATTTTTTATGTCTTCCCAAGTGCTTTCAACTTGATGAGTTTTGCTTTCTTGGCAAAAGGTTTAAACCCCCACCGGTGTAGAATTTCCTCCTTCCTGCTGACTAGAACAACCAGCTGCGCTTTCATTCATCTAACAAGGAAAAATGTTTCACAGATCCACCCTACACTTTACACACCAAACCTGTGTCAAAAAAAAAACAAAAAACTGTCCCTGCATTTTAAACTCTTACCGGTTTAACATCAGAGGTGTGTTTGTGCATTCCAGGATTTCCTCTAACTCAGAAATGCCAGATCTCCTCAGAGGCCCCTAAAACAAGCGCCCCCGTTCCTTTGAAGCTCGTTTCTCTTTGTTGCTTTGATATGCCAGGTGTTCCTCTCAGAAACTATAGTGAGCGCTTCTGTGAAGATCCTCGCTACGAGTTCCCAACAGGCCACCGGGCTCACTCGCTTTTGGACGCGCTGATGGTGTGTGATGTGGCCTCTTCGCTCTCGTCCCCCTGAGATCCCTCTTCTCCTTCATGCAGAGATGTCCATCTGTTAGCTGCAACACACACGTACTCTCTCTCTCTCTGAGCTGTCCATCCCCTTGAACTGAGCCATCAGCTGTGATGGAGGACGATGATGTAGTGCCGCTGTTGCCCAGGCACGCAGCCATGCTGTAACTGGCTGCCATACAGCTTCACCGGGAGTGATGCAACCAAATGATGCTCATTTCCTCAATTTGGACCGAGATCCAGAGACTGAGAAGTAGTGCTGGTGTTTTGTGTGTGTGTGTGTGTGTGTGTGTGTGTGTGTGTGTGTGTGTGTGTGTGTGTGTGTGTGTGTGTGTGTGTGTGTTTTAGCATGAGGTAAAACAATTTGGTGCTATCATTTTACTCAATTCCCAAGTTTGTTTGAGCCCTTCAGCCTAAAACCATGGTCCTGA